AGTGAAGGTGACTGTTGCTCATAGCTATTGGTATAATTATAATGTTGCATAGCAGAATGGAAATGGGATAAAAACATAGCATACTCTACATTATTATAAAACATTCTTCCCAGTTATAAACTATTGTATCCTGACTTTACTTTCATCATTCTCAGTTGCTGTAAGGTGACTACTTTTGAGCAGAGAAATCATAGCTGAATGTCAAAGCACAGAGAATTCCAGTATTCAGTCTCTTGTATTTTTGACTACATCTGAACTAAACAAGAAAAAATCATGAAATATCATGATCTGGCCATTGAAACTACACAATTATGGATGAAACATGTAACAGTAATACCCATTGTCATAGGGGCACTTGGTACCATGTCCAAGAATTTTAGAAAATACATCCAAAAATTGCAGCTTCCTACAATAACACCAGCGGAACTGCAAAAAACTGCGCTATTCAGAACATCGTACATTTTAAGAAGCTACTTGATTGATACCTAGGATGCTGGGAGCAACCTGTATCAACCATCACTGCTAGTCAATGATATTTTTCATACATTTTGAAATGTTCACTTGATTGAATTTCATGTTTAATGAATAAAGATAATAATAATGGTATGGCTGCCCATCTCATCTAAGTGATTCTGGCTCACAATAATAAAAATAACGAGGACAAAAATTCTCTGAGCTTGAGGGTTGGTTTCTGAATATTTCATTACCAGCTTGGGAACATCTTCAGTGGAGTTTAGGGGATGTCAGTGTCAGTGTTCTTCTGTTTATAAGGGCTTCAGGTGTGGGTGTCAAGTGAAGGTCATGTGAGCCATCAGTGAGACTCTTGTGATGGGTCTTGTGATAGGGATGTTACATCAGGACAGGGTCATTGGTAGGTCAACTGCTGGTGTGGGGGATTGTGTGGGTTGGTTGTGGGTCAGTGCTGTCTCTGGTTGGCTGTCTGGTTGATTTGGATTCTGAGAAGTTTGTATGCTGGTTGTAGGTCAATGTGTCTGTTGATAGAATTGCTTGTGGAATGTGCCAGTCTTCAATGAACCCATGAATGTGAAGGGTGGTAGCGTGGCCAATGATTTTTGTGTTGCTCCAATTGAACAGGTGCTGTTTGATGTGGGTAGAGATTAAGGATTTGGGATTGTGGCGTTTGACTACCAGCTGGTGTTTATGGATCGTGTTTTTTAATTGATGTGATGTTTGTCCCATGTAGAACTTGACATACCCATACCTGAAGTCCTTATAAACAGAAGAACACTGATACTGTCATCCTTTTAACTCCACTGAAGATGTCACCTAGCCTGTTAATGAAACATTCAGAAACCAACCCAAAAGCTTGAAGAATGAACTTTCACCCTCATCCTACACCCGAACTACAAATACTGTATTTGCCACAATTGCAAATAAAAGCAACATTTCAATAAAAAGAGTGTACAAACATATAAAAACCATCAACAAATCATCAGTTTAAAAACAAAAAGAATTACCATACTTTTTGGAGTATAAGATGCACTCCCCCCCCCAAAAAGGGTAGAAATGTTGATGTGTCTTATACACCAAATACAGCCATTTTTGACCTCCTGAAACCCTGCCCCACACTTCCTGGCAGGGCCCATTTTTCACAACAACGGGCATTCGGAGGGTTTGGGAGGCCTGCAGAGTGCTCCTGGGGGCTGAAGAGGGCAAAAACATGACACATGGTTTTTTTAAAAAAAAACGGAGGCATTTTTGCCCTCCCCAACCCCCAAGAGCTCTCTGCAGGCCTCCCAAACCCTCTGCATGCCCCGTTTTTGGGAAAACCTGTTTTTTGTGAAAAATGGCTCATTTTTGGCTTACCAAATCCCCACACAAATTGCATTTTTGCCCTCCCCAGCCCCCAGGAGCACTCTGCAGGCCTCCCAAACCCTCCGAATTTTTGCGAAAAATGGGCCTGTTTTTCACAAAAACAGGACGGGCGGGGCAGGGTTTCGGGAGGCCTGCAGAGTGCTCCTGGGGGCTGGGGAGGGCAGGAACTTTTTTTTTCTTGTTCACCTCTTCAAAATCTTGGTGTGTCTTATAGTCTGGTGCATCTTATTGTCTGAAAAATACAGTATGCTAGTGACAGAATCTACTAACTAAAGCACTTAAGTGAACGAAACGACCCATTAAATCTGAAAGGAGAGTAATCTACAATATATAGTGTAATGACTGTAACAACCACTATGTAGGATGGACAGACAGAAGACCACCAGAGCATATCCATGAATGTCAACAAGCAATAACAGCATACAATGAAAGTCATTAATCACAACACATGGACAGACTTAACCATAGTTTCAACAGGGAATCTGAGAGTATCCTAGACTAAGCTAAATTCAAAAACACTGGAAATTTCTGGAAGCTTGGCATTCAGCCAAATCAGCCATCTATAGACACAGAGATAAATCACATTTACATGTCATTCAAGAGACAATATAAAAAAAAAACTAAGAATGGAAAAAAAGACAGTTCACATCCTGTCCAGCAATCAGTACCCAGTTAAGTAGGGACTTATACCAGACAATCAAGCAGAAAACTATAACCGAATCAAGGAACTACCAAAGAGAAAACCAGACCCCCATCAACACCAGCAAAATAACTACTGTGTGTAAGAAGGGAGGAAATTCCACACTCACTGATATATTATCTAATCAGGTAATAAAAAGCCTGCAAGCAAACAACCAAACTCGGAGAGCATCAAGGACTCCACAGTTAGATCCTGAATTACATAACTTTTTTTTTCCTATTGGCTCCCCACCATTGCCAGACACCTAGACACAGTGAGAGAGACATGTCTTCATGGCCTTCCTAAAGCTTGGGAGGAATGGGAGACAATCTGCTATCACAGTGGGGAGGAGGGAAAGGATAATATTCCATAAACTGGCCTCTAGGGAAGAAAAGGCTTCTGCCTCATGACACACCTTCATAAACAGGACCCATAACATGCCAGTTCTGATACAATGGGTAGATGTAAGTGGGGAGAGGGAGACCTCAAACAACATGGCTTTATAGGTTTATAGGCTTTACCAGCCCTGTGAATTGAACCTGGAAGCATATTGGCAACTAATGCAGCTTGTGGAGCAGAGGTGCAACAAATGCTGATGGAGTTGTTTACCTAATTGCCAGATCTGTTTTCAGATGCTCTTCTAGGGAAGCCTCATGTAGATTCTGGAAAGCCTGACAGTTTTTTTTCTGCTCCATCTTTCACCAAGCAAAATAAAGTCAAGAATAATTTGGATTTCTTTTTCACACTTTTGGCTTTCCCAGGAGTGAGTTATTTTTCTTCCCTTAATTATTTTTGTTTTATGTACTATTTATCTAATGTACTTATAGCTGCCCAACTTATCAAAAGAGACACTGGGAGGTAAACACAAAGATAAAAATAAAGAAGTAATAAGAAGTGCTATGTTAAAAAAGGAACTTGGACAATCAATATGGAAAGAAAAATGGACACACCAATTTTACTGTTTCTTGGCTTTTCAATCTTACAATAATTTGATTAAAAGTGATAAACCTCAATCTTCGTTTTATATTTATGTAATCTGAAAATCTTTCTGTTATTAAAGTTTTGTAATTAAAAGAAACTTTTGTGAAGAAATGTTGTAAGATCCTCACAACTCTTTAACAGTAGCTCACCAAATACTGATTTGATTGTTCACTTATGAAAAGTGTTGATTATGCACTTTTATTGCTTGGGGGGGGCAATAAATCCTGTGGGGGAAAACATTTTCTCATGCTCCTTCTAGCCCACTTTTTCTTAAGAAACCACTTTTTCTTAAGTAAATTAAAGTCAATATCTGAAATTATTTTTAATTAAGCTTTTACTTTTAGAATTCTGAATATGTAATGAGCTCATAAAATATATTAAAAATAAACAGGCAAATTAGGGATGGCTTTCACAGATGATCTGTTTCTGTGGAGAAAAAAAGGAAGCTAGAATATAAGATGATGGTTTATTTTATGTAGCAAGATCCTTACAACACAATTATCTTTGTCTAAATTAGTTCAAACCACAAACTAACTATAAGGCTGTTCACACAATTTATTAGAGTAAATGTATGGTTTGCTAATTTGTGGTATTTTGTGAATATAACATGTGAGTAAAACAAAGTTTACGCCCTCACAAACATTTTTTTTAAAAAAATATGAGAAATAGATAATTTACTCCTTTTTAAATCAAGATGAATTGCTAAATTGGTTTAAAAGTTTGCAAAGAAATAAGTACCATTATGTAGAATTGTGCTTACAGTATTCCTAGTACAAGAATGATCAGACTCATGGTTTGAATTTAGATGGCCAGATTAAATCCATGTTTGGAAGTGAAGTTCATCTGTGGCTTTGCAGATCATTCACAAGTGATGGAAAGACAGAAGGAACAGCAAATCTGTTTCATTTCACCACAAGGAGGCCTAAGGAATAGCCACACTTTTAACCAGATTCCTGTCCCTTATCCTTACCATAGTATTATGTTTAGGATTTAATTGAAAAAAATATATCTACTAGCTAGAAAGTTGCAATGTATGTTGAAACATAATTACAATTCCCATGTTACATTTTCATTACATTGTTACTTTACTGAGGCTGTTGCAATAAATGATCAGGATAAGCACAAGTCATATAGAGAATTTTAAAAATTCTAATAATTTCCAGCATTCAGAAACACTGAATATTAATATCAGGGAATTATATGGCTACATTACATATGAAATATACTGGAAATATTATATACAATATGCACATCAGAAGCACTACGTGCCAATAACCGGGGCTTATATATATATATTGAAATATTAGCGTTCAAAAATACTACGTGCCCATAGCGATGGAAATACGTCTCAATAGCTCGGGATTGCAACCAGAGGGAGCCTCCATCTTACGTTTGAAGATGGGTTTTCCTTAGGTGGCGGATGACAAGCCGCTGCGAGATAGCCAGCGAGAAAGCGGAGGAGTCCAGAGCGGGGGCACTTCCAGGACAGGAGCCCTCCCACAGTCTCTTGCTGTTTTCAATGCTTTGCAGTTAGCCTTGACTGCAAGCGCGCGCAGATCTCCGCAGCTGTGTTCAGATTGAATGCACGTGCGTGGGGATGATTGAGGGGGCGGGGTGATTCGTAGCCAGAAGCTAGCAGAGAAGCCACGCTTGTAGTGTCCGAGTTGTTTCAGCCGTTTGTTCCCGCTTGCTTCGGCAAGGCCCATTGGTATCATTGGCGACGGTGATAGGAGCAGCACCAGCGTGCTTTCTGTGCCTTCCCTTCTCTCGCGGTAAGCAAACCAGCGCAACGCTTTAGAAGGTTAAACACCTGTCAGGCGTTCTTGGCTCAAGTGGAGGAGAGTAGCCCGGACTCCTCGGAGGTTTGTCAGGGCGCCTTCACGGAGCCACCGCCTGCCGGCCCATCTATCTCGGTTGACCGAGCGGCGGGAACCAGGCTTACGGTCCAGTGCGGGAACGATCGGCAGGGTGCCTCTTCTGGTGTTGCGGAGTCGAGTCGGTGTAGCAACCGGGTAGGGGGCAACGACGGTAACTGTGGTGCTGGGCGGCGGGGTGGGGGCGGCGGCCGGTGTTGGCCACGGTGGTTAAACGGGACAGCGGCTTGAGCCACGGCAAACTACCCCTAGAATAGAATAGAAGGCAAAAGCGGTTGATTTGCAACGCCCACACTCCGGGTACGGCGGTGTGCAAGGAGCTGCCACGCTATGGGAATTATTTGACGCCCAAAGTGAGCGGAGGGGTAGAGGTCCCTGCTGCGCGGATCGCTTTTGTTTCGGCACCCTGCCCCCCCTTACACTCCCACCCCCAAAAGTAGGCGGGCTGCGCGGGGGCTTTAATGTCGCGCCAGCTTGTTCTTTTCCCTTGCACGGTTCCCTGCATTGCTTATCCAGAGGTGCTGATGCTCCATCTCCTGTTGCAAGGTGCTGCTCGGTTCGGGGTTTTCCGCCACGGGAGTTCAGCCTTTTACCTCACTTTCATCACGCGGAAGAGGTGGGCAGAGCGCGAGAAGCGAAGAAGAGAAAACGTGCGTATATATATATATATATATATATATATATATTTATTGCACCGGGACTTTGGCTCTAGCGAGCTAATTCCCCCCCCCCCCCCCCCCCGCAAGATTTCCTCCTTAGCGGGTTTCTTGCGCAAGCGGCGCCGAAACGGCACCGTGATTTTTTCGCTGCCTTGAGACCGACCGGTTCTCTCCGCCTCCTCTCGTTCTTTGCGGAGAGCCCTTCACGCTGTGCTGTGGGCTTCTCGCTCCTTCCTTCTCTCTACCTGCCGTCCCTCCTTTCATAACGTCCCTTGGCGAACCGGAATGGAAGAAGGCCGTGCGGGAGCAGGGAAGATGCCGCGTTCCCAGAGGTGGGTTTAGGGACACGAGCAGCCAGACCCAAACCTTGGCGGTGGACCGAGTCGTCAATTCTGGATGCAATATGGGCGCGAGTTCTTTCTCAGCTCCGACAGCTCTGAAAGGCTTCTCCACTTCTGAGGGAGCGCCGGGCAAGCGAATGTACAAGTGCACCTTCTCTGAGGGGTGGGGGTCGCAGATGTTGATGAAGTTGTAACCGCGGAGAAGGCGGAAACGGCACTAATGGGAGATTTTGCTGTCTTTATTATTGGTCATCTGCTGCTGCTGCTGCTCAAATAACCATTTCCTCCTTTTGCCCATCTACCATGGCAAAGGCTTCCAAGTGGCTCCCTGTTACCAGGGATTGTTGTCCATGTTTGGGAAATACAGTTGACCTCCTAATAATATTGAGATCCAAGTTGGGAAATTGAGATTGTCTGCTTCTCATTCTTAAAATGCTTCGTGCCATTTCTGTGAACTTTTAGTGGGCCTTTGTCATTCTGACAAGACTACCAGGGGAACAGGCAAGTCTTTTCTTATCAAATTATTTATTTTTTGCTGATTCTGGGTTTCATTGTATTTGATTCTTGTTCTCATCCCCAGATTTATTGAAGCCAGTGTTTAATTTGTGGATTTGCTGGCGCATTGATTGGCATTCTAAAAACTGGTATTACTGCTCTAGTGTTGGTATTTCAAAGGATCCTGTCACTGATGGGTACATTTCACCATTTCTGTAAGAGAAAAATAAAAATATCTAATTATGTGTCACCACTTGGTGAAACTCTAGTACAGGAAAATTGCAGCAAAATACTTTGTATATGGTGGTTTCTGAGCTTTGCAGACATTTCATTGTCAAACTAAGTAACAGTGCTAAGAGGGAGTGGGCCGTGCTCTTATTTTTGTATAATAGTGGCTTGCCCTGTCAATGTGGGTAGGAGTGTTGTTGGTTTATTATTTAGGCTGTTGTTTACTTGTAGCTTGTTTGTCTGAATTGGTTTGTTGATTTAATCAAAATTAGAGTTAGAAGGGACCTCAGAGGTCTTCTAGTCCAACCCCCTTCTCAAGCTATACTATTTCAGACAAGTAGCTGTCCAACCTTTTCTTAAAAATGTCCAGTGATGAAGCACTCACAACAGTTGTGAGTACTTCATCACTGGAAGCTTTTAAGAAAAAAATCTATTTAGAATCAATAAGTAAAATAAGTATTAAAATAAGTAAATAAACAAGTATTGTCCATTGTTGTCTAGTGTTGATTGTTGGTCTGATGTTAATCTTGGTGTTAATCTTTGCTCATATGGGTTGATTGCTACTGAGCATGCATTTTGGTCCCTTTGCTTCCTTCTGGCCTTTTTATTGTCTCTTTTGAATAGTGTGAAGATGTTTATATCCACGTGCCTCTTGATGGTCAGGTTTTCTAATTTCAGGCCTCCAAGAATTCTCTGGCATTTTTTGGACTTGGCTTGATCTAGGATGCCCACAGTTTCCTAATTGAAACTATGGTTGAGTCTGTCCATGTGTTTTGAAATTAATGAGCTTTTATCATTTCTTCTGACCGCTATTTGGTGTTCATCAGGGGTGAAATGCTCCCGGTTCGGACTGGATCGCCTGATCCAGTAGTGACGGAGGCGGGTGGTTAGGAGAACCGGTAGCAAAAATCCCTGCTCTCCCCCCCCCCACCGTTGCCCAGCTGAGCTGTGCAATCATCAGAGGCTTTTTTAATATATTTTTTCTACAACCTCTTTGGTCGAAAAAATGCTTTTAAAAATAATTTTAAAAAGCCTCTGATGATCGTGCAGCTCAGCTGGGATCATCAGAAGCTTTTAAAAGCATTTTTTCTACAACCTGTTAGGCCCGTGGTGGTGAACCTATGGCACGTGTGCCACAGGTGGCACACGGAGCCATATCTGTGGGCACACAAACCTTGCATTGCCCTAGCTCAGCTCCAATGCGCATGCATGCACTGGCCAGCTGATTTTCGGGCCTTCCGAGCCCACCAGAAGTTGGGAAACGGGCCATTTCCAGCAGGGGTGAAATCTAAATTTTTTTGCTATGGGTTCTGTGGGCGTGGCTTGGTGGGCATGGTGTGGCTTGGTGGGCGTGTGACTGGTGGGTGTGGCCAGTTTGACATCATTCACATCACTCTGCTGTGCATGGGGCGCTTGGAGAGCGAGCGAGCAAGACAGCTTTCCAACCTGTGTGTGTGGGAGGGAGGGAGGGACGGAGGGAGGGAGGAGCGATCTGAAGCCGAGGCACTCAAACTTCTGGCAGCGGCGGGGCAGCTTCTGAGCAGCCAGCTCCACCTGACCTACTGCCTGAGTCTCGCCGTTCTCCTGGCTCCCCCCCCAGCTCAAGCAGCGGCTTCCCTTCTTGGCCCCAACAAGCTATGCATCCATGGTGCCCACACCAGCATCCCGAGAGAAGCAGAGAAGATCGCTTGTAAGCAGACAAGCAGAGGTAGCAAGCATACACTGTGCTGTGGGGAAAAATGAGAGATGTGGTTGTCCTGCAGAGCCTGCCGCTGCTTGAGCTGGGGCGGGGGGCGCAGGAGAATGGCGAGACTCAGGGAGTAGGTTAGGTGGAGCTGGCTGCTCAGAAGCTGCCCTGCCACTGCCAGAAGTTTGGGTGCCTCGGCTTCAGATCGCTCCCTCCCTCCCACCCCCCACAAAAACAGAGGTTGGAGAGCTCTCTTGCTCGCTTGCTCTCCAAGCGCCCCATGCTCAGTCCATTTGAGGAAAGGGCACGGACGGCTAGGCGCGTTTGGCTGCAGAAGGAGGCGCAGCGCAACAGGTTTTTTTGTTCACCGAGGTGGTACTTTGGGAGGGCAGGCGGACGTCTGCAGCTGGCAACTATAATGAATATGTCCACCTGCCCTCCCGAAGCACCACTGCGGTGAACAAAACAATCCCATTGCTATGGATGCATAGCTTGTCGGGGCTGAGCAGGGAAGCTACTGCTTGAGTGGGGGGGGGGCAGGCAGTAAGCTGCTAGCTCCTTCCCCACAGCCCTGCCATGCTTGCCTGCCTTCCACATGGACTTCTGCTTGCCTGCCTTTGCAAGCTGGCCACCGGGATGCCAGGAAGGCAGGCAAGCATGGCAGGACTGTGGGACGTGGATCAGTTCTGTGGCCAGCCAGCCATTGCTCCCCATTCGGCGAACTAGCCTCAATCTACGCTACCTACTCCCCCGAGCCAGTCCGAACTGGGAGCATTTCACTCCTGGTTTCCGGCCTCCAGAGGGTCTCTGGGGGTGGGGGGTGAGGAAAGCCGTTTTCATCCTCCCCAGGCTCCAAGAAAGCCTCTGGAGTCTGGGGAGGGCAAAAAACGGACCTTCCGGGCCCACCATGCCATTGCGTACCAAAAGCGGGGGGAGCACGGAGTGGGGGTGTTGCGCACGTTTGTGCAGGGGAGGCGGGGTGCATTGAGTTATGGGTGTGGGCACATGCATGCACTAGGCCCCCCCCCCATGCTCCTTTGCTTTGGCACGCGACAGCAACAAGGTTAGCCATCACTGTCTTAGGCTGAAGAGGTTATAGAAAAAAATTTTCTAAAAGGAAAAAAAGCCTCTGCTGATCAGGCAAGTCAGCTGGAATCGTCAGAGGCTTTAAATGCATTTTTTTACCATTTTTAAAAAATGGTTTTAAAAGAGGAAAAAAAAGTTGGCCATGCCCACTTAGTCATATTAACCCCCCAAGCCACACCCACAGAACCGATAGTAACAATTTTACATTTCACCACTGGTATTCATGGATGCGCTATGCTAATCTTCTGCCTGTTTGTCTTTCATAGTGGCTGTTAACAATCCTTACATTGTACGTTGTATGTTTTCTTTTCCTTCTGGGCTTCCTGGGTGATTTGGTTTACTTAAGATGTTTTGGAGGGCTTTATTTGGTTTGAGTGCTGTAGTGATGCCATGTGGTCATTCATTGCCGTGTGAGACTTCCAAAGAGTCTCACCTGGACACTCACTTGTGCTCTTGCAATCTGGTGGTTAGCTTCCTCCCCGTTTGTCCTACATAGTCCCAGGAGCAATCCATACAGGGGATCTGGTATATTACATTGGAAGTACTTCTCACCTCCCAGAGATTTTTACAATGCATGATTCATCTTCATAGGGTAGCCTCTGGGAGGCATGCAGTGCCCACTTCAGATGTCAGAAGCAGTGTTCTACTGCTTCTGAAATGCTTTTATGTATGGCAGGGTGTGCCATACAGTTGGTCTTTTTCCTTCTTTTTTCTGTTCTCTCCTTTGCATTTTGGGCAGATATCTTGAAATAAATGCTTGTGGATGCCCATTCTGCTTGAATTGTTCATGTAGGTACCTTCTCTCCAGTTGTTTAGCTTTCTGGGTATTACATGGGTTCTGAGCTGCATCAGAACACTATATGGCAGGGTGAGAAAAATAGCTAGGGAAATGATTGAAGGCTGGCAATCGGGCTCCTTGTCAGTTGACAGGAGTGCTGATTTGCTGCCTGCTTATCAAGTACTTAAGAATTGAAGGCCTGGCAGCACAAGGAAACAACAGCCAATTGTCAGCCACATCAATCAGCCAATAGGAAAGCACCACATAAACACAACTCACAGAATTGCCCAAAGCACATATTCCAGTAGAGACAGGCTCCCTGAAGAGGGGCTCCACCATGAGTCCGAATGCTCGGAAGAGTAACTCTCTGGTCCCAGTGACCGACCCAAATTCCATCTTCCACCATTATCCTTGGATACGTATATTTGCCTTCATTCATAAATCACTTTTTTCAATGTTGTAACATAAAATTATCACTAAACGAACGTTGTAAGTTGAGGACTACCTGTATTGGAGCCATACATTAGATCTATGTGTGGGAATGTTGTAGATTTCAGGTGTTCCATTATATCTCAGCTATCAATTCTGAAAGTGGTTATCCCATGGAACTTCCTTTGATTTGTTGATATATTTTTCCATTAAATTGAAAGTATGTGGTCAGGCAAAAGTTGATAAAGTCCATGATTCTGGGTAATGCAATCTTGGTCTATTTAGTTAAATAGGGTATATTGTGTTCTAGTGTTATCATGGATTTTTTTTTTTTTTTTGCTAGTTCTGGAAATACGGATGTGAAGAATGCTATGACATGAAATAAGACCATGATTTCATCTTTGTCTATGGTCAGGTCTTTGATTGTTTGGAGGCACTGTAATGGGGAGTTGATGGAGTATTTATTTACCTTTGTGAGCATCCAAGCTTATTTGTTAGTTCTTCAACAATGTTGTAGGTTGTGGTTACTGGTAGTGATACAATTGGCCAAAGAGGCCTGCCTTTGGGGCGTCCATAAAAGCATGGGAAGATGCTTTTCATCCACCACTATCGTTCTTTACCTTTCTTGGTGTGTTCACTGAGAGTTATCTTGAGCTGGTTGTCTAATTTCTGGGTTAAATTGGTGTTTACTAGGATGTGAGTTTCTTTATCTTCTAATAATTCTCTGGCTTTTTATATGTTTTGGGATTTATCCACAATAATTATGGTTTGACCTTTGTCTGCTGATAGGATGATAATAGATTGGTCCTCCTCTAGATTTTTGAAAGCTGCTTGTCCTCTGCTTTGGTTTTTTTCCTCATCTCCTTTTGATCTGTGGTATGATAATTTTATGCTCTTATGAGTCTCTGTGGGAAGTTCTGTGGGAAGTTCTGTGGTTCTAAATGTTTCTTCAGGACTGGAAAGATTTCTAGATGATTAGTATCATCTGTGTTGGACTTGAGGCCTCTTTGTATAAAACTGGGTTCTGCAGTTGATAGTGGGCAGCTGGGCATGTTGACTACCTGTTCAGGTTCCATTGCCTCTTTGGTTCTGGGATTTAGTTTCAGTAGTTTGGTTTATAGCTCAGTTTTCCTTTTTCTGGCATGTCTCTGGGAACTGTTCTCGATGGTCATTGTCAGTCTTTAAATGTGCTCTGGTATGTTGTAATTGGTCCCTGAGATTTTCTATGGTATGCTAATATTTATTCAGTCTGAGGTGCACATCTGTGCTCATGAGCTGTATCATTTTTCACGTGGTTTCTTGGGCTATTTTCCATCCTGCTGTGCATTTTATTGGAAGTTTATATCTGAAACTGGTGGGTAGGGCATGCTATCAGAGGCATTCACACAGAAAAAATAGTTGTTCCTTAGTGGAAGTGTGCTTACATGCAAATTTCTACCATTTGCATGCTGTATGAAGTGTTTTATGCCCATATGTAGTGGCGATATAAGAAAATATTTGTATATATATTATATATGATATTTATATAGTACAAAATAACAAGATGCTGTATAAAATAAATAGGGAAACAATATCTGTGATAGAATATGTGACACTAATACAAATGAACTTGTAACACCAACACATATAAACTTGTAATTGTTGGATTTTTCTCAGACTTATTCCATGGTGTTATATCATATGGTAATGGACCTATTCACAGGATATCAAATGACTAACAGGGAAAAAAGAGGGTTTTAAACTTAATCTTCCATAGAATCTCTGTTCCTTAATTTCAAGTATGGGACATAGTAATTATTCATTTGTGGGAGAAATACAGCTAAATTGTTTTCGTCTTAATTTGAATGTTTGAGCTCTATCAATGGAGTTCAAAAGACACTTAACCCTGACTTTAATATTATATATTCAGGGCTTATTTTAAAACAAGATTATTACTGTCATTAAAGCTTTAAAAGTTTTTTCTTTGAATTTTACCTTTCCTCCAAGAACCTTAGTATCAGTGGGATATTCAGAATGAATATCTGCCTAGCTGAAGTGGGCTTAGTTCATAAGGTGGAATTACAATCAGGTACATCATATGTATAACGGTTTCTCTTTATTGCCAAGATTGTTACAAAACAAATGTATAAATCTCATAAATGGAAGCTACAAACCCAAGTATAAGGCAAAATCCTATTTTTGTATTGCAGGTTATACCAATAGTTTCTTTGTTGCTGAACTTCATTCATAAACATGAAGTGTTCAGAAGAAAAATCAAACATCCAAAGTTCCTCTCCTGACAGGAATACTTATGGGGGTCAGTTCCAGACTCTGAGGAATAATTTTGATGAAAAACAAGAAATAGTAGGAGCCATTTCTCAGCAAACCAGGGGAAAGAGTTATGGCTCTAATGTCAGCAGGATTAAAAAGTTATTCATGCAAATGGGTACCAAACCTAGTGAGAATGCTGAAGGAATAACAAAGGTCAGATGTAGAAGTAGTCTACGGTCATTTGAAGGAAGAACTAAACCTTTTGAGATTGTGGAGAAAGCTGATGGATCAGTTGTACAGTTAGAAACTTCTGTTTCAGAGATAATTACTAAATTTGATGCTATACCTTTCAAATTTACTGAAAATAGGAAGGGGATTAAAAGAAATGAAACACAGCCTTTCAATCACTCTTCCCCAAAGAAGGAGAAAACAGCCTCTGCTGATAAAGATGAATGCTTTTTCCTTAAGTCCATCAAAGGAACTGCCCAAGAAGATTCGATGGGCAGTTCTAGTTCAAAATCAAGTTTCGGTTCTGATCGGGGGAATGCTGGAGCTGAAGAGGATGAAGAAAAAGATAGTGATGATAACAGCTGTTACGATCATGACAAAGAGGACTTGGAAGTTGGTGGCTTATCAGAAGAAGAGGAAACCCCAGCAACCAGAAAAATTAAGTTTAGTACAGCTCCAATTAAGGTAGGTTTCACTAGCCTATCTCTTTTATATGCATGCACATTTTTTATTCCAAGTTGGTTGCTTTTTCATGGTTGTTGTTTAATGAATGTTGATAATGGGAGATTTTGTTCATTTCCATTGAGTACTGGATATTTTGACTAAAAAGTGATCATTTAAATTAAGCAAGTTCTGTGCTTTGATTCCCTTTGTTAAATGTTACTTTAGGGAACATTTAAGCCAATGTCACAAAATGTTTACCTATTCTGCAATTTATTCAGGTTAAGTTTATGTCTATTAAGTCAATTTCTCTATGTAATTTTTGTTATTAGTCTAGTGGGGAATGAGGAGGCAGAATTGCTAGGATAAAATATAAATACGTATAAGGAGAGCCAACATTCAAAAGTGTAGAGAACTCAATCTAATCTATTGCAGGCATAGTAATCACTTTTATCTATTAAGATATAATTGAAACACATTTGACAACATGGTAAAAAGGTTAAATGAGGGCTGATGGAAAAGATAAGCAGACATAATCAGAACAAACCCTCTCAAACAATTGGAGCTTTATTCAGTAGTGCAAATTTGTGTATTATGGAAGCTGGTTTTTCATCTGGTTGGGTATGTTAAATTGTATGTATCCAGCACAACTGGAAAATTCAGTAAAGGTGGTCCACGACTTACAAAGGTTTGTTTAGTGACTGTTTGAAGTTACAACAGTACTAAAAAGATTAGTTTGCACATTAAGAACCGTTGCAGCAGCCCCATGGTCACATGATCAGAATTTGAGTGCTTGGCAACTGGCATGTACTTATGACATTTGTACTGTCCTGGTGTCATGTGATTACCCTTTATAACTTTTCCAGATGGCTTCCAACAAACAAACTCAATGGAAGAAGCCGCATTGACTTGGATGCATGAGTCACTTAATAACTACAATGATTCACTTATCTGTGGCAAAAAGGTCATAATATGGGGCAGAATTCTATTTAGCAACATAAATTTTGCACTCCAAACGGTTGTATGTTGAGGACTACCTGTAGCTGTTATTTTTTAAATAAAAGGCCACTAAAACCATTTAGGGAGTAGCCAGAGTATCCAGAGATGCAAAAAAAAAGTGTCAGTCAACAAATAGACGTATGTTAAATTTTATCTTAATTGTAATTATAAGTTTAATACTAAGTTTTTCATCTGTGAAATGGTATGTTATGTACTGGTTCTATAAAATCTTTATTTTAAAAAAGTTGTTTTTAATGTTTATTTTTAACCTCTCTTAACCTCATGCTCAAATTGGGTATATAGCAGAGATGGTTAACGTTTTTGGTGCTAACTGCCCATAGCACGCATGCTCAAATGCATGCACGTGTGCCAGAACCCCCAAAACACAATGCGAGTGCCCCCCGCGCTATTTTGGCTTCCAGGTTGCTGCAGAATGCTTTCCAGGAAAGCCCCTTGCACCAACCTGCATCCCCCACACACATGCGCGGACGTCTCCCATGTGCCCCAACCCCCACGCATGCACAGCAGAGACCCAAACACCAACTGGTCAGCGGGAGGTATGCACACATGTGCAGTGGAGCTGGGCGGCTGCGATGGGGCTCTGCATGCCACCTGTGGTGCGTGTGCCATAGGTTTGCCATCACGGGTATATAGCATTCTCTGCTAGGTAAAGGTAAAGGTTCCCCCTGCACATATGTGCTAGTTGTTCCTGACTCTAGGGGACGGTGCTCAATCTTTGTTTCAAAGCTGAAGAGCCAGTGCTGTCCAAAGACGTCTCCCTGGTCATGTGGCTGGCATGACTAAACGCCACAAGTGATCCCTATTTTTCTATTTGCATTTTTTACATGCTTTCGAACTGCTAGGTTGGCAGAAGCTTGGACAAGTAACGGGAGCTCACCCCGTTACGTGGCACTAGGGATTTGAACTGCCAACCTTTCGATTGACAAGCTCAGCATCTTAGCCACTGAGCCACCGTGTCCAGCATTCCCTGCTACTTTCCTAATAATATAACAATAACCCCATGAGGTTCATTGATCTTATTGCTGAAAGAAGTTGAATTTTTGATTCCATTCTCTTTGATGTTTCTTGTTATTTTTAGGGAAGATTGAAGTGAGATGGTGCATCAAACTTTAAATTTTTTATTCTAGACTTTAAACACGTATCCAGTCACTGCTAGAAAATTCTGTGCTGCTAAACTACTTACGTTTAAAAGAAAAATTATGTTTTTCTTTTCTATTTTTAACAACTGTATTTTTATATTGTAAAAATAGGTTGCAATAGAGCCTAATTGTTATGATGTTTTAAAAATATACAAGGGAAAGAATAAATATACAAGGGAAAGAAAAGGTGGTATGTAGAGGAAAATACTGAAGAATAACAATATTTATTTTTTTGCTTAGGATAATAACTTATAGCATATTTTGTTATTTTCCTTTATAGCTTGGATTCAGTTTTCCCAGTTTACTTATTATCAGGATGACTATTAACATATATTTTTAATTTTAAAATATTGTAAATTCTGGCAGTCCCACAAAACTGTTTTTCATCTTATTAAAAAATAACCCATTTATTATTATACCTTAGGTATATTACATTACCTTACCTAGTAAGGTACACTTTACTATTTAGAGTTTTCAAATTTGTCAATTTTAAGATATATATGGACTTCAACTCCATATATCTATATGGTATAGTAGCACGATATACTACTAGAATCTTTGTTTTCAGTGTGTCTGATAATTTAGAAATCTTAAATTTAGACCCATTAATCAGGTGTCTGGATGCAAACTGATTTTAGGATGGCTGAAATGTTGACATCATCAGAATTTATTATGCTTATATCACTTCTCCATAATATATAGTATAATTTGCAATTTTTCTTAGGAACCACCTATATAGTAATCAGTCTACTCACTGCACAAAAACTCTACATGTGTTTACTGTGGACCTGCCCTTCATTTTTGGGTTTGTTTATCTAGAGACAAATAATCCTTAAGACACATTCCTTATTGAATTAAGTTTTTGAAAATATGTTGCTTGGATTGCTACTGCTGAGACTAGAACTAGATTTAAGTACATGTGATCCTCATTCACAACCACTTGTTCATTTACCATTCCAATTTACAATGGGGATAAATGAGTTATGACAGGTGCTCAATGTTCCGGCTGTTGTAGCCTCCACAGACATATTTGCAATCCTGGCATTTAGTAACTGGCCTTGGTTTGTGTCCACAAGCATTACAAAGTCAGTAGAGAAGTCGACAAAGTTGCAGTCGTGTAGTCCTCACTTAATGACCCACAGTTATGTGCTTAGTGACAGTAACTAGGGACTGGCAAAAGTGCTATTGTTAAGCAGCATAGCTGCGTTTTTCAACCATATCACTTAGTGATGGAAATTCCAATCCCAATAACAATCACTAAGCAAGCATCACCTGTAAAATTTGAAAAGGCTTTATGAGTAAGTAATAAACATCTAATGCTTCAAGGATGTTGAGTATTCATGAACTGTTTGATTATTAAAACTTCAGCGAAAGATTAAAAACTGGGTAACCAACACAGCATTTGCAGTATCTCTTAGTTGAAGGATTGTATATTAGTATGTTCTGAGTTAGTTTGCTTTGAAGTAGGATGCTATAGTTTAGCTACAGGAGTTATATGGTTATCCTTAGACTGGCAAAGATTGAGCTGAAGCAGCTTGTGTAAATAATACAGAAGAGGTTTAAAATATGAAAATAGAACTTAGTTGTCAGATGATATCTGGCACTGAAATCCCCAGGTAAAATCAGGGACTAGTGTGGGAAATGTAAAACCAGTCTGATTAAAAAAAGAAAATTATCTTGTGTTTTCCAAGAACCTTAACTCTGGGAGATTCACCTGTGAGGAGGGATAGATGCATTAACCAAGAGAAAGTCTATTATTACATTAAAAGAGGAAGAAAACAAATCTTTGATTGAAATAATAAGTTATTTAGAATATGAGTGAAGACAGCTAAACAGCCTCCAGAGACTGAATGTACTTAAAAATGGTGAAATGATTTGGATTGAAAATGGAAGAAGAGAATGCTGAAAAAAAGATTCTTAACGGTTTGTGTGGGGACAATAATATGTCATAGTGGAATTGAATTGAATGCTATAAATGTTACTATCTGCTTAAAATAATTAAAAGGAAATTAAAATTATAAATGGTGCGAGAATGCTGAAAAGCAATAAGGTTGCAACTGTAAGTGGCGCCAAGTTAAATATGGTTTGGAGGAGCTGTAGGGTTTATTTTTAATGTGTATTCAAAGGCTGCATCTGTGCCCAACAATTGGTATCATGCTGTTATTTCCCACATAAAAAGGGAAAAGAGCAAAAAATACCTGCAAAATCTACAGGTCAATTAATTTAAGTATGCCTGGGAATATCTTTGGAATTCTGATTGAAGGGGCATGAGAAGTGAAAATAAATGGTTCAGTGCAGCTTCATGCCATGAAGGAAGGTAGTCCATTCTTTCCCTGTTCACAGTTAGTATAGAAATGAGTGAGAAAAATCTGAAAGTATTTGAGAAAATGAATAGATTGTTTCTTATTAACTTTGTTCATTAATCCTGAAAAATGATTTGGTAATGTGAAAAAAATACATATATTTCCCTATGTCACTTGCTCTATTTTTTTTTAAAAAAGTCGAATACATCAGTTTGATTCCCTCCTCTGCATTAATACCATTTTTTAAAAATTATGTATTAGCTTCTTAAATATTAGGAAACAAAAATGCTTTTAATTATAGCAAGAAGAAAAGCCAATATAATTCTCTTAAAGCGTTTAAGGGTATTCAATATTTACTTGAAATTATTAATAGGTTATAGGTATTTGACTTGCACTCAGTTAAAAGGATTAAGATAGATAAGGGATATAAAAGATGAAAAAAGATGTTCTTTTGCAGTGGGAAGTTTGCAATGCAAAGTGTAAAAATAGCTCTGTTGTGACTGTGCTTGTAACCGGACTAAATCATTTCCTATTCAATTCCCTGTTATTAAGTACTTCATTT